TATTTAGAGTAAGTAAACCCAAGCTAAACCAAACCCAACCAAACAAAAAGATACAAACCAAACCAAGTGAGGATCAGGAGGAGAGAGAGAGACAAGCTGCATGTGGGCGGCTTTTAAGCAGCAATCAAGCCAACCAACAGCACCTGCTGCTGCAACTCCAAACCCTGCAGAGAAACAAGACAGCAGAGAAACCACAGGGCCGTAACAAGACAAAAATAATATCTCTCTGCTTTCGCCTTCATCAAGGGTGATAAACGTCTTACATCAGAGTCTCCAGTCCACATCCTGGACTTTCCAGAAAACCACACAGCTGCTTCACTCCTGCATCCTGCAGGTTGTTGGTACTCAGGTCCAGATGTTTCAGATGGAAGGGGTTTGACTTCAGAGCTGTGCCCAGAAAAGAACAGCTGGTCTTTGACAAACCGCACCTTTTCAGACTGAATAAAGAATAAAACCGTTAAATAAAACCCTTTTAAAGTCCTTCAGATATGTTCTGGTTTCCATAACATTTCAATCACCTCAGCTTCTCCAGTTTACAATTTGGACTCTGCAGTCCAGCAGAGAGAATCTTCATTCCCAAATCGTGCAAGGTATTAAGACTCATGTCCAGTTCTGTCAGTTGGGAGGTGCTGGACTTCAGAGCCTTAACCAGGACTTCGCAGTGACTCACTAAGAGTCCACAGCCAGAGAGTCTGTCAGGACAAATAAAAGAAAATGATTTCATCCTGATAAAAGTCAGTTTCTTGGATCACTCACCAAAATGTACCTCAGGGAATGCAGATAAATGCCTTCTCCAAGTCCAAAAATCACATGCGGACCGGATGGGTAAACTCCCATGCTCTTCAAGGTCCAAGGTCTAAAATGAGTAAAAGCTGGTCCAATGGGCCTCATGCAAGAACCGTTCGTACGCACAGATTTGTTCTTAAATTGTGCGTACGAGTGATTTAGGAGAATTTGTGGCATTCACCAATGTTTTCATATTCTACGATTTTTTTCAGATACGAACAAAATTTACGAGTGGTCCAGACCTGTCGTATATTTTACCAGCAGTCAGTCTGCTGTTATCCAGACGGGTTTTCTTCACTAATACTGTAACTTTATATTTCGTTAGTTTGAAGATATTTTGAGTTGAAAATAAATTACACTCTATAATTATGTTGACAATAGGCTATTCTGC